TATTTTGGCTAAATGAATGACTTATGATAATTTAAGATTCTATTTTGTAATATCTAATGTTTTAAACCTTTGGTATTTAACAAGCCTTTCAAAATCAAGTTCTAGATTGTCATGCTAAATCAGCCAATTCTAAGGTTGTTTAAATATAAAATTTGAATGAACTCCATGGTCTAAGTCAAATTACCTATGATAATCCGTTATCAATGCTATGCACCTAAATTGGAGAAACATAAGTCCAATATTAAGCATGGATTCATAAAGAAGCAGGACTTAAGAACCTTAAGATTTTGTTGTTGGGGGTTCTTCATTCCATAACTCGTCATGGAAAAGATAAAATGGTCCAAGTTGAATATATTGATGTGGTGACTTATAAATGGTGGAAACAGTTTAAAACCAATGTTTGGTTCCATTTTCCTGGAAAGACAATCAAAGCTTCGGTTACATTTGGTTCCCTGATGGGCCATTTAAACATTTATAAAGGTATTTCATTCAATTGTCAGTTTTCAATGCTTGTTATCTGGTGGTGTAGGGGCTTTCCCATGCAAGAGGGCATGTGTAACAGTGAATTGTGATGCTACAGTGTGTTTTCACCCGGTGGAGAAAGCTTCTTATGGTTCACTGAGGACAATCCCTTCACAATCTAGAACCCAAGGGTTGGATCTTCTGGCAACCTCAGAGAGGGACTGTCCTTGCCGTCCACCACAGCGGAACTTTGGAGCCTGGAATCTTGGGTTTATAATCTCACAACTGAGAAGGGTCCCTCCACACTCCTGGAACTGTACAGCCATTGGAACCCTTAGGGTAGAGCTACCCAGGAAAGTTTCTCCCCAGAAGAAGATGGCATCCTTGATGTGAACGGCTTTTCCCAACATTACAGATCAAAATTTCTTCTATCATGAGACTCTTTTTCTTTGAATATTTTTTCCTTGTTTATGCCTCTATTAACAATAGGAATGAAAATGGGGTCTATTTTGTGCACTTCTAGGGTATACTTTTATTTGTGAAGGATTTTGCAGCCAGCCTTATACATGAATAAACTTATACTTCAATAGATAAAAGATGAAGGCCCAATGTAGGTGAGAAACTTTAGTGGTATATCTGTTGCCTCATAATCAGTTTTCCCCTTAACCCACATCATGGATTAAAGAGAACATTGCCAGGAGGCCTTCACTCTGTAAGAAGGACGTCATTTGTTAGGTCCTTTTTCCAGGGTTTAGAATAAAAGAGGCAATAATTAGAAATGTCGCCCTCACAATAGGCTCTATAGCAAATTCTACTTTAAAGGCTGTCGTTACACAACAGACTTTAAATTCTCTTGTGAAAGTTGTGCTAAGTAATAGAATTGGCTAAACAGAAAAGTACCTGTGCAGCTGCTGACACTTGTGGCCTACAGAGAAATACATCAAATGTAAATTATAAAAATTCAGTTGTAGGGGATTAGTGAAGAGACCCTCTAGTCAAGCAAGTAGACTAGTACATTCTTTAATCTATTTAATTTTAGGTATTTTGGTTTATGGGGACCCTGGGTAAGGAGCATACTCCAAACTCTTGGTATTATCATCCTAATAGTCATAATAGTCTCCCCGGTGTGCTGTATTCTCTCAGAGGTTGTAAATGCTTGCCAGACATCTCTAGGACATCAAATGGTCTCTCTTCAACTGGAATGACAAAAGCTGAGAGAAATGGGTGACCATGAGAACACTGCAACTTATGAATGACATGCTGAGACCCAAAACCCAAAATGATGGCAACTGAGTGACCCTAAGTTTTGTTCACACTCTCACCTAAGTGAGAACCTGGTCAAAAGGGGGAATTTTTGAAAACAAAATTATGGGAAGCCATTATTTTGGACTAAGCTCATGTGCTAGGCCCCAACAAACCAAACCAAACTAAAATGGAGTGACTCATGCTAAAGATGACATAATCAAGCCAAGGCTTTAAGAAAACACTGATCCTAGAACAGACCAGGTTTTGTTTTCCTCTTGTAAACAGGATGTTCCAGCATAAGGTACTCTCTACTCAGTCCTTATTCTCTCCTTGCAAAACACACGATTCTGTTTCCCAGTAGGTTTCAAAATCATATAAGTACATTTACAACAGTAATAGTAACATCAATGACTGAGGTTTTGGTCAACCTCTCAAAATTGAGAAAATGACAAAAAGGGGGGAATTGTTAAAGCAAATTAAATACGGCCTGAGAAGGACTCTGTACATCTATATTTGAGTCCTTGTGGATGAACTGTAGCCTAGCTTAATAGACAAAATTGAAAACCTAACTTAATAGTATGCACCCATAACAATAGCAGAGTGTTGGCCAATCCCGGGGGCATACTTCAACCACTCATAGACTACTGAATGTTCAGACTGTGTTCAAATAAGACAAATGCTGAGCTGTAACCAAATCCTGCCGTTTCTGACTTCCAATTCCTGTCCTTTTTTGTCTATAAATTTGTTCTGACCACGAGGCATCCCTGGAATCTCTCTGAATCTGCTGTGATTCTGGGGGCTGCTCAATTGGTGAATTGTTCATTGCTCAATTAAACCCCTTTAAATTTAATTCGGCTGAAGATTTTCTTCAAGAAACAAAGGAACTGAGACACCAACAGTTTCTGGAACTTACCCAAGGTCATGCAGCCAGAAGTGGAGCAGCTGGAATTTGAACTTGAGCAGGCTAGTTCCAGGGTCCGTGCTCTTATCACTATGCTGCCTCTGAAATCAGACTAGCAGTAAGACACTGGAATATGTAAGTAAGGTCTCATTTCTGCTAGATTTGAATTCTGCTTTGGCTTATCAAAAGGCTTAGTGGGCCGGGCGCGATGGCTCACGCCTGTAATCCCAGCACTTTGAGAGGCTGAGGTGGGTGGATCACGAAGTCAGGAGATCGAGACCATCCTGGCTAACACGATGAAACCCCGTCTCTACTAAAAATGCAAAAAGTTAGCTGGGCGTGGCAGCGGGCGCCTGTAGTCCCAGCTACTTGGGAGGCTGAGGCAGGAGAATGGCGTGAACCCGGGAGGCGGAGCTTGCAGTGAGCCGAGATCGTGCCACTGCACTCCAGCCTGCGCGGCTGAGCGAGACTCCGTCTCAGAAAAAAAGGAAAAAAAAAAAAAGGCTTAGTGATCCCACTTAACACGCATGTACAATGTGCTGTGCAAGGTTGCAAAGGAGAAACTACAAAGGTTTTTCAGGTGTTCCTGGCCAAAGTAAAGTTGTGGACAGAGAAGCAGATCAAGGAGCCAGGTGACTGGGGAAACATGAGCATTTATTAATAGTAATTACTATGCATTTAATGTTGAGACTTCGTACACCATTGCATTTAACCTACAGGGAACACATTTATTGAACACAGAAATTGCTGAAACTAGTTCAGCTTTGTCTTAAGAAACGACTAACATTACTATTATACTATAGACCATCATCCTTTCTCCCTTTTTTCCACACCCAGCCACTCTACCTCAGAAGACCAAGCCTCTATGGAGGCTGTCAGTGCTGTCTTCTGTTGCTAGGATTCATTATCTTCAATCTTTCCTCTCACTGGTTCTATGGCCACTGAACTGCGAGCTCTTTGAGAACAGTGACGTTGCCTATCCCGCTCGTATGTCCCTCCACTACTGCATGTATCCCCCTGAGCTGTGATTTATCCCCTTGGTCATTCTTGAAGTCAGGTACCAGTATGCCCACCAGTGGCAGGGTGAGCAAATGGTGGTGCATTCACCAGTGGTGTTCTTATCTGTCTGTGTAATCTAGGCATTTATGACAGTGTCTGGCACGATGTGTAGTTGGTCAAAATATTTATTGAATAATCAAATACTTAATCATGTTTGTTCAGATTTTAGGGAAGCAAACTAAAAGATATCCAAATGTTTCTAAGTTTTCTAGGCTCATCAATGAAAGAAAATAGACAGGAATTTGAAGTTGAAAATACTAAATTGCTCTTCGATTATGTTTCTGGACATTTCCTGTCCTGTATTTATTCAGAACACTGAAAGAAGATTGTTGATTATGCCAGATGAAAAGCAAACAGTCCATCTGGGGTGGTGAGGCTGCTGGAGAGCTGGTGATGTTCTGTTTGTTGATGTGGATGCTGTTTACAGAGATGTGCCCTGTGTTTACAGAGACTGTAAAAACAGTGAGGTAGACTTTCCTGCATATATATCTCAATAAATGTTCTTAAAGCAAATATTACAAATCCAAAAAATATTTTTCCTATGAAATTTAATATTACTTTAAACTAATTATCTTTCTCTTCCATCAGAATCAAGTTAGTAAGGATCTCAGAGGTCATAAAGTCTACCTCGGCCCTGACATGCTTACATACATGCACAGAGTAGGCTGAATAGGAGTACCCTTGAAATGCAAGAGAGAAGCTGGAAGGCAGAGTTCATTAGTGATAGAAAATCATTACTTTGCAATGTTTGTAGCACTTTAATTATCAAGAGAATATAAAAATGCATTCAAATAAATGAAGAAAAATGGGTAAACAAATGGACACATTATGAAGATTTCTAAGGTTCAATTAACATCTGAGAACTTCTCAACCTCTCAGTTATCAGGGAAGCCATAAGCCATTGGATCCACAAACATTAAAAAGTCTCACAATCCTGTGTCAGGAAGAATGCTGACTATCAGAAGTGCTGGGAGAAGCTCTGGAAAGAGCTTTGTAAAAAGCTCTTAAGCAGCATCCACTAATGCCAAACACCTCCATGAGCAGCAACTCCAATCCCAGCTGCGAAATGCTCAGGCTGAACTCAAATGAGAGGCAGGTGCATTCATAGCAGAGCCAGTCGTGATGGTCATACAGTGAAGACAGCAAATGCCCACCAGTGTCAGGGTGAGTAAATGGTGGTGCATTCACCAGTGGTGTAGACCAACCAGCCACTCCAGATCCACTGGGATCCACAGGACTTTGCAGACACAGGCCGCCTATAAATTCATTAATCACCTGGGGCCCGAGTCTTTTTGTCCGTAGAGCCATTCCCATCTTGGTACTGAGATGTTGTGGTGGAGACCAAGGATCCCTCGAACTGGTCCAGGGGTGGGAGGAGCTCTGCGAAGTCAGGGAATGACTGTGTCTGGCAAGAAATTGGAGCCATAAGGGCTCTGAGGTAACAAGGAGAGTAGGGCTGAGTCTGGGAGTGATCGTAAGTTTGGGATTGGGCCAGGACCTGGGATTGGGCTAGGACTAAGCCTGGGCCTGGGCCTGGGCCTGGGCCTAAAATTGGAGTTGGAGCTGGAGCTGGGGCTGGGCCTGGGAGTAAGCCTGACTTGGAATTGGGCCAGGGGCTAGGATGGAGCCTGGACCTGGGATTGGGCCTTGGCTTTTGAGTGGGCCTGGAATGGGGCTGGGATTGGGCCAGGGGCTAGACCCAGGGCAGCCAAACGCCCTCCTGGGCTCTGCACCCAAAGATACTTCAGGCCTGGTGGAGGCTGAAGATCATGAGTTCCACCACTGGGAGAATTCCCAAGGGGCCAGGCTGACTGGGGGCAGAGGCCGCGGCTTCAGGGAAAGGGGGCACAGTGCGAGCTCTGCGG